AGACTGGGCAAGAAAGTGCCTTGGCCATCCTAAAAATGTTTTTAATAACATGTTGGGAAAGTTTCCAGCATATTTTCCTGCTATGAAAGTGGCTGTTTGCTGAAAGTTAGATACACTGTGTTATTGTGAAATATTTCACAAGCAGGGAGTCACAGTTGTTGTAATAGGAAAGAATAAAGCCTGCAGACCACACACAGCTAAAACTGTTACAAGCTACTGACCTGCTACCCGCAGTTCCAATACAGTTTCTCCATAAATAGTATTGTCTTGAACAAAACAGAGGTATAGTCCTTCATCAGCACGTCTGATATTGAGAATCCTCAAGGGAACATTTCCATCTGTGAGTCCGGCTTTCAAAAGCTCTGTCCTTTCCCAATACTCTGGCATCTGCCCTTCATATTGATCCTTCCCATCACGATACAGGTGCACAAAGGATACAAACTCTGAGCGGAACCATCTCACCTCCATGTTTGCAGCGCTCATGCTGGGGGACAGGTGACAGGGTAACTCAGTTTCCTGACCCAGGATGGCAGTGACAGGGTCACCGGGTCCAATCACTGTGAACTTTGCTGGAAAATGCACCAGGGCAAGAACAACAAAAAGCAGCTCAGAGGAGAGTGGGAATTTGATATGAAGGACACAGCCAACAGGTTCCATTTTTACAAACTTTCCAAAAAGTTCAGCCAGAAGCAGACACCCGGCATGGAACATTTCAGCCGAAATGCTTAAGTGAGAGCAGCGCTCATGGGCAGCAGGACGGGGCTCTGTTATAAGAACACTCAGCCTCGGTGTATGGCACAGGCACACAGCACTGAGATGGGGCGTGGAGCTGATAACAGACAAGCTTGGAGCATGGCCCAGGCACAGAGCACTGGACAGAGAGTGGAGAATTGGTAGGTTCAGTGCATGGCACAGGCACGCAGTGCTGACACGGGGTGGGAAGCTGGAGACAGGTGTGTTCAGTCCCTGGCAAAGTCACACACCAGAGAAACTGAGGCAGAGAAATGGTAATGGAGATTTTTGGTGTATAGTTGAGACAAGCTTACTATTTAACAGCCCATTTTTCTGAGAGATCTCAAACTGACACGCTTACTGACCTTGCCATGAAATTTGCTGGGCCTCACCAGGAATAAGGGTAGGGCTAGTGGGCCATACTTGGTAGTTCTTTCACCAAGGTATTTCTGTGACATAGCCCTATTGCTAGAGCCAATTGTTGG